AATGTTCATATATATATATATCTTATTGTGCTTATCATGGTCACTACTTGTTTACTTTTTTTTTTTTGGTGAATATAAAACATTTACAAATCTTTTATCACACTTTATATTTTTCAGGATGCGTCGCATTCTAAAACTGGGGCGTGACAAGTGTCCGACTAAGTGGGATTCAATTGATAGTTTCATACATGATTTAAAATATTTGGGGTTTTTCATACATAGCATGCAAAACATTGTTAGTTACATATATCACACCTCAGATTTGAATAATATGAAATCTGCACATTCATTAACTCTTCCATCTCCAACCTCCTCTCCACCAACGATGGAGACATCGGATTACGACGTACAAATACCTCCATATGCGGCTACTGCGAGCTCCGACAAACTTCAAATCAATCATCTTCCTACGTGTCCACTGCAAGCTCTGAAAAAATTTTAATCCGAGAAATCAGAGCTCCCTACCTGCCTACCTACAAAAGACAATGTCAGAATTGCGGCTTACAAAGGTGAAAATGTTACATACATTCATTCTATGTAATGTGAATAGTGGTGATGCCCGAAAAAAAAAAAAAAAAAAAATTGATGCATGGAACCTCTGTGTATCTACATTGTTATACTTCCATACCATAAATGTATGTAATATTTTCTCCTTAGGAAGACCTCTGAACTTTCTTTCTCGTTCCATCAACTCCAATCCAAAGCTATTGAGGAACATAATTGAATTAGAGAAGCTGAAGCTTGCGAAAGCATGTGAGAAGAAGATGGAAGTTTCAGAGGTCATTGTATGTGTGTTCCTGTCATTGTGTCAGAGATCTTTGTCCACACAATCCCTTCGTTGCTGCTGAAGGAGGAACAAAGGTGAGTTTCAGATGACTTTGTTCGGTGTGTTCCCATCGTTGCTGAACGAGGAGAAAGTTGAAGGTTTTAGAGGTCTTTTTCTAGGCAATTTCGTCATCACTCTTGAAGGAAAAGAGTTTCTGATGTATTTGTATGTTGCGATCCATTGTACCTGTCACCAAAAGAGCGGATGTTGTACACAGGATAGTGAACCGAAGTGTGAATTTCACAGTATTGAAGTTTGAACTTTGAGATACATAAATATCAATGTCTTGCATGTAAAAATTCCTAAATATTTTAACACCTCCCTACTCTCATCCTAGTGGTCAATTCAATTTTGAATTGTTCATTATTCTAACTATAGCTTTAATTTATTTTTTTTTTCTGGAAGATTTACATATTATTGCATAAAATAGGTAAATTTCATCTTTTTCCTTTTATAAAATTGACATATGTGATGCCAAGCTTTGGGCAGTATAAATATGAAACCTAAAATTTAGGGGTAGCATATGTAAATACATAAAAATTGGATGGTACCTATATAAATGCCCTTTATTTCTTTAATAATGGAAGAAATGATTTATTTATTATTTAATCCACAAACTCTGCCATGACCAGAGTTATTGCTCTGTTCAGTTGTTTAATGCTAGTCGATGCAAGAGTTGGGAAAGATCGGCCATGGCGATCGCCACCAACAACCCTAGCACTAGATGATCTTTTGGTCCCACACGCAATCGCCGGTGAGGTGGCTCTTCC